TCTCAGACTGAAGAAGTCTCTTGGAGGAGAGACGAAACGTTTCATTAGAGAAGAACCCGTCCAGAAGACCTATACTATTTTTTTCTTTTTGTTTCATTAATAATATTTCAAAATATTATTTGTTTTTTTCCAGCCAACTCACAGACATTGATTTTCCTTTGAATTCATATTTACGTTAGTGCAGGTGCGATGCTTCAAGGAAAGTGTATATCAAGATGTTTGCTTTAATTAGGTGGTAAAATGAAACGAGTTAGTCATGTCTAATATGAATGAAGTACATCCAAACTGTAGGTTGCGTCTTTAGCTGTAGTTTTTTAAGACTTTAAAAAACAGAACAATACATGTGATAAAAACCCTGAAAGCAGCCAGGAGGTGTGGATGTAGTTTACAGGTAGAAGTTAATTCATCTTTTCGTTTGTCTCTTTAGGTCGAGCATCAGCTTCACCCTCTCTTGACGTCCTCATAACTCTTCTCACTCTGGGAGCCAGAGGCTACAAGAAGTACCTGTCGGACAGAAAGGTGAGGACGCGTCAACGATAGCTTTTAAAAAGAAAAAAWTATATAGAATTAGTCTCATATTTGGGTTAAACTGTGATGTTTGCTTCAAGTTTTCAGGCTGATGTGTGAAATGTAGGGACGACTCGTGGCTTCTCCCTGAAGCCTGTGCATCTAAACAACAGATTAGTCGTGATGACGGAGTTCAAATCAAACTAGTTTGTGAGGCTTCTCTCATTACGGCTCACTGCTGTGAAACGGCTCACATTGCAGCATTCCTCCTCTTCACATTAGAGCCACTGCAGCATTCCCACACCTCGTCGCTGCTGTAGCATCAACACACCTTCTCTCTGGGCCAATAAAAAACACCTGATGTGCTCACGTCTAAATAAAACCAGGAGAGGTTTATTTTTTTTGAAGCACCCAGAATTTATTAAACTGAAACCACTCCTCGTTATGGAAGACCAAATCTGACATAATTAGAAATAAAAGTAGAAATATATAAATGGACCAGTAACTACATAAATACACTTAAAATGCACCAATTAAGTTCAAGTTTAAAGTTTGGTTAAAAACAAAGACAAGGAGGGAAAACACTTACCTATGTTTTTGTTTTAAATTAWACTTTAAGCTAAACTGAGGCAGAACAAGCATGCACAGTAGGTCTGCACGTGGCYCCTCCTCCTTCCTGTCTGTTGACCAATGGGAGAGGAAATGACCCAAAAAAGGACCGCCCMCCTTATTTGCATAACGAGGCAGAAATGCATAAGTAAATGTGGTACCACTTTACAATAAGGCTCCCTTATGACATTTATACATGCRTATTAGTCATTAATAGTGTACCTACTGTCTTACACTTTACAATAAGGCTTCCTTTGATAATTATGGATAAGTATACATCAGTAATACACTGCAATATGTAAAATATGTGTTTCCAATACATTATTGTGCTTACAAGGTATAAACCTAGTCTGAAATGTTTAATGTAGCACCTATTAGATGTAATATATACATGAACAGATTTGGCTCACTATTTGGCAAGAAACTGGCCAGTTT